TTCAGCTGCTCTTATAGAGCAGATTGCAAAAAATTACTTTACAATTCCACATTCAAGCTTAACAGCATCATGAGACATTCTCATGCTCCTTGCTTTGCTTCAGTGTATGCACTGCTCAGAGAGGATTAAATGCTCTGCTGTATCAATCAGTGGTCATTTATCCTTTATCTAAACTTTGTAGACAGGGCCCTGTTTCAATAAGATGACAGGGTTAAGTAGTACTGTTCCTCACTAATCTATCATGCAGTGAACCATGGTGTCAATGACCCTTTCATATTCCCAGTTAATTTCTCTTCATATAATCCTGATGAAAAATAATTACAAACATTGGAGTTTCTGCTTAAATTAACATTTGGTATATGAATATTTGAATATGAGCTGAAATGTTCATTAATTTTATTGTTATTAACTGAAGAAAGTCTCCAGAAACCCAATCATAACCTTTCTGTCTTTGCAAACTACCATTCATCTGCACACTCCCTCTCGTCTCCAAAGTCCTTGAGTATGGTGTCGCCTTCTAAATGCATCCTTGTGTTTGAATCCTTCTAATCAAGTTTCCACTCCTGCCACAGCACTGAAGTGCTTCTTGTCAATGACATTTGTAATAATTGGAACCGTGGTAACATGTCCATCCTCTTGCTTCTTGACCTTTCTCCAATTGACACAATACAAACCCTCACTTCTATCACATAGCGGAGTGTGACTGCCTACATTTCTCTCTGTCCACTCATGGCTAGAGAAACACTTGTGATGGTTGTTGCTTTCCTCCCTCCTGCTGTAACCTCTGGTTTCCCCCTAGGGATCCATGCCAGGCTCCCTCCTTTATCTCATCTGCATGCTGCCCCTTGACGACATCGTTAAAGAACAAAAAGTCAGCTTGACTCAATGTTCACAACCTTGGCATCTTATTTGATTCTGATTTAAGCTTCCAATTCCATCCATCACCAAGACCACCTACTTCCAGCTCTGTAACATTGCCCATTTCAGCTCAACTGTTTCTGAATCTCTCACTTAAGCCTTTATTATCTCTGAACCTGATTATTTCAATGCTCCCATGACTAGTGTCTCAACTTCCCTACAACTTGAGTCAATCCATAGTTCTATAAGACCATAAGATATAGGAACAGAAGTAGGCCATTCAGCCTCTTGAGCCTGCTTTGCCAGTCAACAGGTTTATGGCTGATCTGACATTCCTCATATCCACTATCCTGACCTTTCCCCGTAACCCTTGATTTCCCTACTGTCCAAGAATCTATCTCAACCCCAAATATACACAAGGACTCTACCCCCACAACACTCTTTGGCAGTGAGTTCCAAAGACTCTCAACCCTCCTCATCTCAGTCTTAAATTGATATCACTTTATTCTGAGATAATGCCTTCGGGTCCTAGATGCTGTCATGAGGGGAAACATCCCCTCACCGTTGACCCTGTCAAGTCCCTTAAGAATCCTGTTTATTTCAATAGCATCATCTCTCATTTTTCTACTCCAATGAGTAGAGTCCCTGTTTAACCTTAGCTCATAAGACAATTTCTCCATGTCAAGAATCATCCTGGTGAATCTTGTCTGAATTGCCTCCAGTGAAATTATACTTTTTTTTAAATAAGGGGACTAAAACTGATCATAGTACTTCAGATGTTATATCACCAGCACCTTGTACAATTGCTGTCAGACTTCCCTACTCTTATACTCCAACCCCCTCGAAATAAGGGCCAACATTCCATTAACCTTTATGGTTACCTGCTGCAGCTGTGTGCTAGCTTTGTATTTCCTACACAAGTACCCAAGTCCCTTTGCCTTGCAGCTTTTTTCAATTTTTCTCTATTTAAGTAAACTCTGTTCATTTGTTCTCCCTTCTAAAATGAACAACTTCACATTTTCCCACAGTATAACCATTTTCCAACTTTCTGTCTACTTACTTAACCTATTAATATCTCTCTTTAAATTGTTTATATCCCTCTCACAACTTACCTTTCCACCTATTATTGTGTTGTCTGCAAATTTAACTACAGTGTACTCGCTTCCTTCTTCCGAGTTGTAAACGGTTGCAGTCCCAGCACTGATCCCTGTGGAACCACAATGATTACAAGTCACTAACCTGAAAAAGAATCCCTTACCCCCACTCACTGTTTCCTGCTCTTTAGTCAATTCTCTATCGATGCCAAATGTACAACACGGACACCATGGGATCTATTTACTTTTTAACGTTTTGCGAGGTACCTTATCAAATGCCTTCTGGAAGTCCAAATATAATATACTGGGTCCCCCTCTATCCAATCTGGTTGAAACTTCCTTGAAAAATTGGTCAGACACAATTTACATTTCATGAGGCTACATTGAATCTGCTTGATTAGATTATGAATTTCCAAATATTCAGCTATTCTTCCTTAATAATTGATTCCAATATTTTTCAAGCTATAAACGTTAGGTTAATCAGCCTACAGTTACCTGCTTTCTGTGTGTCTCTCTTTTTGAATAGGGATGTCACATTAGCAGTTTAGAATCCGCTGGTACTTCTCCAGAATCCAAGGATTTTTTGAGAATTACGACCAATGCATCTGTTACTTCTTAGCTACTGCTTTTGGGATCCTTCTAGGATTCAAGCCATCAGGACAATCAGGGGCCTTTAGCTCTATTTGTTTGTCTAATACTACTCCTCTAGTGATGGTAATGGTACTTAATTCCTCTCCTGAAGTCTCTTGAGTCAATGGAATGTTCAAGGTATCTTCCACCATAAAAAAGAGGCAAAATATCTGTTTAACTCCTCTGCCATTTCCTTGTTCCCTGTAACTATTCCATTGCTTCACTCTAATTCTCACCAAGTCCTCTTTGTTCATCATCCTTGTGCTCACTGAGTACATTGGCTTACAGTCTGGCTTAGTTTTAAAATCCTCACCCTCATTTTCAAATTCCTCCATAGTCTCTTCCATCCCTATCCCTGTACCCTCCTCCAACCCCAGAGCTTCCAAGTGCTCTTTGCTCTTTCAATTCTAAGCCCTAGAAGCTAAAATGTAGAATTTTTTCTTGAACATTTCCACCTTTATTCCCTTCTTTGACCAAACATTTTTTTTCACCTATCTTAATATCTTTTTGCATCTCTGTATCATATTCTTTAGATAGCACTTCTGTGAAGTATCTTGGGATTTTTTTTAACCTTATTAAAGGCGCTATCTAATTCCAAGTTGTCGTTGCAGTGAACTGCAACATCTTATGAAACTAACGCACCCAGAGTAATCTTTCAACTTGTGCTACTTGACATGTGTATTGAAAACAGTCTTCCAATTATTTTATGGCTAGGAAATAGTGTAAAGCCAGTGCTGAAATTAACACCATGCAAGAACAGTCAGCAAGGCTCGTTATCCAGCTCATACTTTGAAAATCACTCTTTCTGACTTCACAGTTCACGTTCTGACTCAGGTTATAGAATCAATCATTTCAATCTCTGTTGTGTAGAGCTTGAAACTACTATACATCTCTCATCTACACTTATAACCTACAGTTCCAGTGTATCATAATAGTCTCGTCTGCATTTACTGAATATAGTGCCAGTGTATTATTATTAACTCAAACTGTTTCATATAACACTGGATGTCAAACAATGTGTCTCATAACATTGAGGCAGTGGAGATGTTGGGAAATAATGGAGGGATGTCATCTGTGTACAAACAGAATCTAATCAAATCTCATTAAAACTTGACAAGGCATTAAAATTTCACCTTCGATAATCTGGCTTTGAATTCTCAAGACACGTTCAGTCAGAGACTGATCATGTCTGACTGGTCACCCTCCTTCCCTGGGATTATACTCCCCTGGCTGTGCTCCACCATTTACTCATCAACACAACTCTAGCTCATCACCGACAGCTAGTTTCACCAAGCTACTACAGCTTCTGCATTTCTCCGAGCTCCAAACCTGTTTACCTAGTCAAAGTAAATACTGCTTCTGTGCTTCCTTTGACCTCGCTGTCAGCCATACTAAAATGTTCAGAGCACATGGCTTCTTCTGAGGCCCAATATTGTTATATAGAATCCATACAGTGTGGAAACAGGCCCTTAGACCCAACAAGTCTACACTGACCCTCAGAGCATCCCACCCAGACCCATCTCCCTTGTCTACACATCCTAGTACACTATGGGTAATTGAGCATAGCCAATCCACCTAGCCTGCATATCTTTGGACTGTGGGAGAAAACCAGAGCACCTGGAAGAAACTCACACAGACATGGAGAGACTGTGCAAACTCCACACAGACAGTCACCTGAGGGTAGAATTGAACCCAGATCCCTAGCGCTATGAGGCAGCAGTGCTAACCACTGAGCTATGGTGCCACCCTATCACCTAGGGCTTTTCCTGATCCCTAATCCCAATACTTAGGATGTGCCCTGGAAACCAGGAGGTGCTGCTGAGTTCCAGTGGCTCGGAACTCACTACACCTGCATCTTTTCAGGATGGAGTTTCTTTGCCCTGCTCCTAAGTGTCTGACTGACTAGCAGCCCAAATCTCTCCTTCTTCTCATTGGTGCTCCCCCATTCCACAGACCAAACTGTGCCATTCACTAACCCTTGAACTGTTCTGAGTAACCAATTGGAATCTTGACAACAGCTTGTTCCTGGGATGTATGGAATAGTCAGATGTAACAACGTCTTGGAACACTCTGTCCTTAGATGTTAAGATTTTCACAGATTGCTGGCATACATAGTACAAATTATAAACAACTAAAATTGATTTTATCACACCTCCCCACTTGCAAGAAAGGAAGCCTTCTGATATTGAATACTTCAAGTATCAAAAGTCCAAAGCATTTTCCATTAAACTTTAAATCTAGACTTACTGATCCAAGAATTATATCTAATATAGAGTCTATTCCTCACACATAACCATTTATTTTCCATTTCTTTGCTTCTTAAAATGATTTGTGCTGTATCCTTTTCGGCATAATGTCCCATTACCTTTGAGTGAGTATTTTGAAATAATTGATTTCATGATTATTTTTATTTTCTAGATATCATGCTGAATTTTCGGACAACATATGTCAGTAAGTCGGGACAGGTTGTCTATGATCCTCGCTCAATCTGTGTGCACTATGCAACTACCTGGTTCTTCGTGGATCTTATAGCTGCACTTCCCTTTGACCTCCTCTACGCATTCAATATCAATGTGGTGAGTGTATCTGCTTAGGAAATATTGCACTGTGGAAAGTTACAGATTGCAATGCAAACAACACCGCCTCATGCTCTTTAAGTGACATATCTTATGTCTATTTGCTCTATGCTGTGAAGCTAATTTTAGGAGCCTAGAATAAAACAGATTCAGCCATCAGCTTGAATCAGCATATTAAGAAATGGATGCTTTTTTAAATGATTTATTTTTCCCTTTTCATTCCCTTCACCACATGGATACTGGCACCTGCTTATGAAACGAGCCATGAGCTCTTTTGGCAACACAGCTAATGACATTTGGACTTACAGAAATGACAGGCAAGAAAGGGCCATTTGGCCCACCAAGCCTAGCCCACACTCATGGTTGATAGAACCTTGTGACCAAATATTTCCCATCCTCCGCATTCCCTCACTCTCATGAGATTCTGGAGGAGGCAAAAAAAGCAGGAAAAACATGGGGACATTAAGAAATGTAAAACAAGATCTGGAAAGTTCCTCCCTAAGTCCCTTTGGTAATAAAAATCAGTTCATGATTTCGATTCTCCATTTGGCATGTGTGACGTTAGCCTGAAATGCTCTTGTCCAATCTACTTCATCAATGATACATCAAGAAATTGAATACTCACTAAGTGAATGAAGAAACCCTTCTTACATTTTTTTAACTGGCTGATATGCCACCCATATGGCTCTGGAGGTCACAATGGTTGAGTTTTTTGGAACCTGAGCTTGGGTTAGATGTGGAAATGTGCAAGCCAGTTGCTAATGCCTTCCTCCCTTTCAAAATCTCAAAATCAATAGCATAGCGCAATAGATTGAGGATTTGTTTGGACAACAGGATACAAGGAGATAATATCAAACTGAAGCTGAGATGACTGTGGGCCATTGGTCACTTCTGTCTGGCTGGGAGCATTTACACAAAATCTGTCCAGTACCAGATCAGTAACCTGTGTATTGGCCTTCTTAGGTGAAAAAAGTAATATTTCATCCTGCAAAGATTACCAGCAAACAGAATTAGGCTACAACTGGATACAGGTTGGAATCTGCAGTGTGCACATTCTCCCCATTTCTTATCGTCCCAGGGAGGGGCAGAAATTAAAGTGATGGACTTTGGAAGTAAACCATGCTGTTCCCAGCTGAGGTACCTATTGTAGTATTTATCTGCCATGGATCAATAGTGGCTGTCACTACAGGCAAAAATACCAATTGGGACTTTCCTGATTTGTCTGATTCAACAACCTATAATTTGGTGTTTCTTTCATTTACCATAAGTAAGTTTTGGATGTGTTTTGAGTCACAGTGGACAGAAACTGGGAAGAATTAGTCTAAGCAACTTTTCTGTGGTTTGCAAAAACCAGCTAACAATTGATTATATAACTAAACAAACAAGGATAATGGAAACCAAATTTATACAAAAACATTTTGCTCATGTTAGCTTCTTGCTCACATCTAATCTTGAGTTTGGGTTCCTTTCAGACAGTGATCCAATTCCCTTTTTGAATTTGAATCTATCTCCATTACACTTCAGAGCAGCACATTCCAAATCCTGACCGTTCACTCATTTACAAGGCTACCATTTAGTCACCACTCCTTCTTTTGTGAATTACCTTCAATGTGTTCTCTTGTTCTCAATTCCACCAATGCGAACAGTTTCTCTCTGTTTATTCTGCCTGGTCCCACCATGATTTTGATTCCTCAACCAGCATTGGATGGTTCAAAATATTTATGGCACAAAAAAAATCTGCATTTTTAGATGAATCTGGGTCTTTTTAGCTACTGTAAACATGGTACTTAATCATTTTTAAAATAACTTGCTGAAACTATCCTCATATCATGCACGGAGTCACAGATTGCAAGCACTGTTGGTCCTTTCAAACTCTCCTCTGAAGATTACGCTTTTGTAAATTATTTTTATGGTTGCAAGATTTTGCATTAATAGTGCACTGTCGGATAGCTTGTTCCTATGACTCGTGTTGGAATCCAACTCTGGCAAGGTCTTCTAAGCACACAAATATTAGGAAGTACAATTACATATTTATTTTACATATATACTTAAATAAATAAATGCATGCCAGCTAGATCTGGTTAAGCGTTTTGCTTCAATACTAAAAATTTGTGGAGTTACTTCATGGACTTATAACCTACAGATTTTTCTTGAGAATACAATATAGTACTGAGAACGTAATTTTTTTTTGGCAAAACTACTCCACAACCAAGTGAGGCTCGTGGTGCCTTTAATTCAGTGGATTTCAATTTTGCTTGTGAGATGGGAAGAAATCACCACTTACAATGGGACTCCCTGTTGTGGCAGCCCATCAGCAGAATCTCACTGAAATTGCAGTAGTACTCCCAGAACGTAAATTGCCTTTGTCTGAGCTGCTATAAGAAAATTTTCAGCTTCCATAATCAACTTCCATTTGCAAATATATGGTCATTAATTGGTTGGCTAATGGACTTTTGATTAGGCTAATTAGTTTTCAAATTTGACTAATTATATAGTTTGTGTATACGCAGCTCAATCTCTTCCATTTTGTCTTCAACTGTTGAATAGATTTAATTGCCCAGACTAAACTGCAGGAATTAGATCACTGAATGAACTTTCAAGCTCGAATAAATAGCTCAAAGCCACAGTCCTAGTGACAAGATCATTATATTATTGATTGAAGACTGTGAGATGAAACAAGGTCGAAAGAAATCAGGAAATGAATTAAAGGGGAATTTAATTACTTTTCATGAACTGTAAGGGGGCAGGGGTCTCTGACAAAGCCAGTATTTACTGCCCATTTCTAACTGTTTTTGAGAATTACTTTTTTAATGCAAAGTTTTGCAAAGTCATAACAGAATATTGGCAAGTCATGGAACAAGTTATTCCTAATGGTCCTTGCAATAAAAAATCTACTTATTCTGAAATTCCCTTGATCCCCTTTGGATAGTGCCACTAATTTTGAAAAGGAAAGTAGAGAGGCTCTGGGTTTAATATCTGTTTTGTAAACCACACTTCACACAGGGCAGCACTATGTCAATGCTATACCGGTTACAATCACAACATTTAAAAGGCATCTGGATGGGTATACAAATAGGAAGGATTTAGAGGAATATTCGGCCAAATGCTGGCAGATGGAACTAGGTTAGATTGGGATGTTTGGTCAGCGCAGATGAGTTGGATCAAAGCATCTGTTTCCATGCTGTATGACTCTATGAAGCCTGAGTCCAAATTTGTGCTCAAACTCAGCCTTAAAACACTGAAGTTTAAACTCTACCACTAAATTTAGGCTGATAAATTGAGCAAATTTCTGTAATTTATAGGTGACTGTTTTCTGTAACATCCTGCAACAGCTTTAGAGCGTTGATTTCCAAACTGGGATTTCTGAATCTTGAACACATAAGGGATCCCAGGGGGGCCTGTGAGTCGCAGACACTTCTGTCTTTCTGTACAGGTTGATTTTTCTAAAATTTTACTTCAGTTGTCAGGCTACATACCTAAATACAAATGACAACCTGGTTTTCTTTAGAGGACCGACTTTGTCTTGAGGATAAGAGCCTGTGAGGATGAGCACAATGCAGCTGAAACCCACTGCTGCGATCCTCCCCTGAATGCAGTGTCACCAAAGAATAATTACCTGCAACCTTATTGCTGCATGGTTTGCTGGCACATATTCTGTGATTGATAATCAGCAATTAACTGGTGGTAGCCTTGCACTCTTGGCAGAAAGATGAGCCTTCTCCAAGTTGTAAAAAAAACATTTTTGTAATGCAACTGTTTAATTTCCACAGTATTTTGGTGTTCATCTACTGAAAACTGTGCGCTTACTACGCCTCCTACGGCTACTTCAGAAACTGGACCGCTACTCACAGTATAGTGCTGTTGTCCTCACACTGCTCATGTCCATGTTTGCCCTGATAGCACATTGGATGGCCTGTATCTGGTACTTTATTGGACAGAAGGAAATTGAAGCCAATGACCTTTCCACCTGGGAAATTGGTAAGTGATGCTACTTTTACAGGTTAGCACGGACTGCATCAGGCCAGAGAGTTATCAAAACGCAGTAAGGTTTCTGAATCTGCACAGCAGAAAAAGGGATGATTTCTCACATGTAAAATATCACTTGAGGCAGGGAGGGATGGCAGTGATTTCGTCTTGTTCAGCTCTTTCATAGTTTATTCAAGAACGGTGAAAGGCAGCACTTAATTTCCACCCCATAAAAATTGCACAATAATCCGCCAACACACCATATGGCATTGTATTGCCTATTTTCATTGCAAACATTTACAATATTCCTTCTTTAATGTCACTTGACAGTACACACAGGAAGCAATAAGTTCATGGGCTCTGCATTTAATTGGGATAAAAACATTTGTTTGATGAAAATTCTACAGGGAAGCTGGTAGAACAGTAATGATCCAGAAAGTCACTATAAAGTTGCTGGTTTTTAAATATAGTTTTAAAGAGCTTCTCTGCTGTAAGTTGTCATCTCATAAAAAAAATGAATTAAATTTTATTTAAATCAATGTCTGTTTTAAGAGTACCAAGAAGAAAGTCACAGAGTATATATTTTGTTTTAATTTAGTGTACCTTGTTGGGAATATTTATTGTTACATGTTATCAAAATAACATAAGCTATCTTTAAACTTGTAATTGTCTTCAACTGTGATCACTGACTTTACCCACCAGAATCATCAGTTTAATGGTCACTACACTTTTGGAATACACAATTTAATTTTGAGCTCCTAAAAAGTAAAAACTTGCATTTATATTATGCTTTCACAACTTCAGGACCATAGAGAGCTTCGCGTTTGAAATGTGTGTATGGTACAATGTTGGATACATAGCAATGTTGGATATACAGCAATGCTTCACAGCCTTCAAAAGTGATAGTCTCCAAATAATCTTATTTTTTAAGGAATTTGATTTAGAAGCAAATCAACTAGGACACAGTGTTCAACTTTCCTGCTCTTCTTTGATACAATGTTGTGGAATATTTTACTTCCATCTGAGATGACAGATGAAGCCTTGGTTTAACATCTAATCAAAAGACATTACTCCAAAAGTGCAGCCCTCTCTCGATACTGCACTGGAGTGTCAGTCCATGTTTTTGTGCTCAAGTATCTGTAATAGTGAAACCTGAATTCAAAGTCACCCCACACCAAGGCAAGAATGCTACAAACTGAGCCATAGATATAGTCTAGTAAAGGGCATTCCAAAGTTGGCAGGTTTGCCAGCTGAGAATTTTGGGGTCATGATCTCTTGCAGCAAATGAATGTCCTGGGGAGCTGTGACTAAATTATAACCGTTGTGCTCCACCTCGAACTGAGCCCTATTCTGTGTTTCTCACCCAACTTCTGGCTTCCAAAGTTCTCACTGAGGAGTCTGTTACTGGAGCTTTCTCCTGCTGACATTAGACCTGTCAGGACTTCATTTCTCATGCCCTAACTATTCTGGAGACTGCTAAACTGAACTGCTTTATCACCCCCCACCGACCCCGAATAATTCATTCCTGTCTAAAGCAAACCTGCACATTCATTGATATTCTACTCATTCTCTTGTTCTAAACGGAAACTGTTTATGACTCTACATCACTACCGTGCAGTTTTTTTTCCTTCTACCTCTGTTGTTCTCAAACGCTGATCCATTTACCTCAAGACTTAGTTTTTTTTTAAAAAAAGGCTTCACTTAAATATATATCAATATTGCCCCAGTCATCCCCACACAAATCACAGAACTCAATAAAGTCTTCAATCCTTTCATTCTGAGCCCAAACAATAGGAAACTGAAATCAAACTTAACGCACAGTGCTATCCACATTCAATCTCATGGCTCCATATAATAATGATAATAGCATATCATTCACCTTTATCACAAGTGGAGAATCCTTTGCTCTTAAAATTTCCTGTTTTATTCTTCCCTATGAAATTCTTACAAAGCAATTAACTCTGATGTTTAATATCCATAAACTATGGCATATTGCTTTTAATTCCAATAATATACAACTGCTGATCAAATAACTCAGATGCACATTTTGAATATTACTGAGATTTAAACCTTTGTATTACAATTTGTATATGATATTTATCATTCAGTATCACTTTTTTACTATTTCTAATCTAGGCTACAAATAAACTGGACTGAAACGTTTGTTTAATGATTATCCCAATTCTAAATATCAACTGTGCTTTCAATTTGCTTTTTATTCTTTTTATCATTTGTAAGCACTAATTTAGAAAGTATGGTCAATATAAATCACAGAACTTGAGCAATAATTATGTTACACGTCAAAAGCAGCAAAGTGAGAAGTGTGTTGATGCGGTTAATCCCAAGAAGGATTTTATTCTGCATTATGTGACAGAAATTAGTCCTGTAAGTGTACTGCCTATACTTTTGCTGGAACTTGGAAGGAAATTCACAGTGATTGAAGTGGATGATGAGATCTAGTTTGATAACTGTTTATTGAATTTACCTGTATTATCAGCTCAATTGACATAGCTCAATCAGAATACTGGCACAGCCCTTCATAGCAACAAGAAAACCAATGGATATAAAAATTATAGAAGACACCATTGAGAAGATGTTTGTCTCACCAGTTGGCAAATAAGCATCTCCTGGGCAAAGGGCAGAGAGGAAAATCCAAGGGAGGATTGGGTGGTTTGTTAGAGGGAGGATTGCACATTGGTAACAGAGTGTGGCCGCTCATTTGTCAACTGAAGGAAGGGTAGCTGGACGACTGCTGTTTCCTACCTTTTTGTCTAGCCTCAACCAGGCAGTGCAGATGTTAATCATCAGCCAGTTAGCTTTCTCATTAAATCCTTAAACTTACAGCCAGAGTGTAGTTTTCAGGGACCTGGAACTTGAACTAAAAAGAAAATGTTCTCAACAGAGCATTCATTGTTAAAATTCATTTCCCTGACATCCAGTGTTGTATAGCAATAGCTTCCTCCAATTAAGTCTATAATAAACTATTTCCTTACATCCCCACCATTAATTTCCTCGATTATGGGTCCTATTGTAGTCCAGATGAAGATGATTGGATAATTGTCAATCAATCACATTTGGACCACATAATACTGTGAGAGAGAGTGGGATCTAAGTAACACATAAAGTATGCATCCTCCACCGACTACATTTTGCCGGAGAAATCACTTTGCTTTCTCTGGGGATATTACTATAGTTTCAGTCATGAATATAGTTTGCTGTATTTCAGGCTCTTTTTAAATGGGCTGTGGATTACTGAGCTTCATTGTTTATCAAGCCTGTTTCTTAAGACTTTGCACTCTGTAATATAAACTATTGGCTCTTAGTCTCCATTTTGGCGCCACTGAATCACTTCCTCTGGCTGTGATTTGAGACGGTTCACAACTTTGGTATTATATTTGAACCTGGGCAAAGCTGCAGATCCTAACTCCCCTCCATCACCAAAACTATCTACGTCCAACTCTGCACCATTACTTGACTCCATTTGGATCTAAAATTATCAACTGGTGAAACTCTCATTCGAGTTTCTTTTTAAGCTCTCATTTTATTTACACTGATGCTCTCAAGGCTGACCTCCCACTTCACTTTGTCTGTAAGTTGGAGGTCAACCAAAATTCTGTTATCTGTGTACTAACTCATACAGTGTTTCGATCATTTATGATCCCTGTGCTTAATAGTCCATAAGGAGCTATACAAATATAAGATGCCATTATAGCTGATGCTTTTTACTATGAAAATCAGCTTTATAAATATGGAGCCAATCTTCCTCAGCAGCACTATGAGTGAAGCAGAGAGAAATATCAACCTTAAGGTTTCCATGTACAATCTTACAATACCTTTGACAGTGGCCACCTGAGTGCTTATACTGCAGCAAGCAATATCTGTTCCAGAGTGAAATTTCAGAATGCAATGTAATGCAGTTATCCTAATTTTACTTTCTGCTTTCAACAGTTACTTTTTCCTTTTGATATGGCTCCACAAGTGCTAGCAAACCTGTGGTTAAACAGACATTGCAATTCCTGAAAATAAAGATGCAACAGATCCCAAACAAGTATGGTCCTACCTTCACTCAATATCCAAATGTGGGATATCATGTGGCAGGTTGGGAACATAGTGAGGCTTTTCCAACTCTTAGCCATACTGTTTGTTCTGTCCAATCAAACATCCCAGCTAAGATCAGGTGGTTCAAGGATGGAACCTGGCAACTTTGACATTCAGCATTGCTCAGATTAGGCATCCCTCATCCACTCCTATATTATTGGATAATTTAGATTCTTTATTCTAAAAGCATTATTTCAACATTGTAAAACCAGAAATTGTAACATTATCATTTCTGTTTAAAAGGATAAAGGAAAAGCAAACATAAATTAATTACAAGAGCGTTGGAAATTCTTCAGTTGAATGTCAGTGAGAAGGTCAAACTTGCTAGATTATTTGATGATATTGCTATTTTTATTTCAGAAGAAACCTTGACTTGTGTTCTAATATCTGTGGATTTAATGTTGCTGATTTATTTTAAATTACCTTGCCTAAACATTTCACCGAAAAGGCATTCAAATTATCAGCGAAAGCTGAAAACACATGTATTTTGTTAGCTCCTTGGCCAATATTAGTCAAGGCTAAGAATTTCTCCAGTCGCAATGTGCAAAAGCTTCATGAATGCATTTGTGAAGATCTCAGAGTAAGATTTGAGCCTGTTCTGCTTAAAGTCCAGTGCAAACTAAAGCCCCAAGAATCGATAGAATTCTGTACACTGAGGGTAAGTTGCTGTTGCTGCTGTTGGCCAGGCTTCGAAAGGCAGCTCACTCAAAGCCTGAAGATTATGTAGGGCTGTTTGCCTCACCGAATGCAACCCTCAGGCATATTTGGGGTGGCGAAAATGACACCTTTGGAAATATGTATAACATTTCATTGAGATGAGGCAAGATACAAATTAGGGAGCTGCCTTATTTTACTGATTATGATCAAACCTCACCTTCTTCCAAATGGCTTCAGTTCACTCATCATGAATGAGA